TGGTAGTGACACAGCTGGCTGGCTCTCACCAGGGCGCTGCAGACCCAGCCTCCAGAAGGCCAGGCCCTGGGGACGGGGCTCTCCCTGCAGCATGATGTCCTCTCACATCACATCCTTCCAGGTCGAGGCCAGGGCTGCTGGATCCCTGCTTGCTTTTTCAATCACAAAACCAAAGCCAGAGTGTGAATCCAGAAGCCCTCCTGTGAGCCAGTCAGGCAGTCCCCAGTGACAGAGTGAGAGCAACTTTGAGCCAGGCACGGCAGAGGGCTTAGAAATGAGCAAACAGTGGACTCTGGCCTCAGATAGGACGTGGGAGATAAGATAGCAAGAGCCTCGCAGATGTGGGAAGCCAGGGTTCTAGTGGCGTGGAGACCCAAGTGTCAAGTCACACCCTCCCTGAGCTTGCTCCAGCCCTGCGGGGCCTGCCCCAGCCAGCCGTGGGCCCAGGGCAGATTGGCTGTTTGGAGCTGTCTGCAGTACACCGCCCTCACCAGCCAGGGGATTTTTCTTCCTGCCCCCCCTCCCACCACCCGAATGTATTCAGTGTGCGTCCTTCGACATATCTGTCATCCTTGAACAACACGCGGTGGTGTTTCATGTCACATTTTAATTTACATGAAGGGTATGAGGCTCATTCTCTCACATTTGAATCAAACGAATCTCACTTTACTGCACAGGGACCTCAATGGCTGCTTGTCTGCTGCAAGCTCTTCAGGGACATGTGTCTGACCTGTTGCCAGCTCCTGGCCACCGCACAGAGCCACGGCCAGTGTCTGCGCTCCTGCCCCTCACACACCTGTGCAGAGCGCCCAGAGGGCCCTGGGTGCGTGGCCGGGAGCGGCAGCCCTGGCTCGTGGTGTGAACATCCCTAATCCACAGTCTTTGCCTGCAGCTCCAGGAGGTCCCCTCCCACCAGTGTCCCCTCCAACATTTAAGATGGTCCAACTCTTTAATTTTTAGTTAATCTTACTGCTGTCATGCATTATCTCTGTTTCTCTTCGCTTTAATGTGAATTTTTCAGATGACTAATGAAGTGCGTTTCTGTTTACATACTTATTAGCGGTCCAGCTCTGTCTGCTGGCTATGGCCTATTCCTGTCCTTTTGCCTATTTTTCCCATTTGTTTTCTACCTTCCTCTTGCCGACCGGCAGGCATCCAGTACCTTCCTCATTCCTCTCCAAGCAGACATTGCAGACACCTTGCCCTCCCAACCCCCCGCCACTTGCCTTTTCTTTGTCTGCAGCATCTTTCTTTGAACAGAAAGTCCCTAATTTGTCAAAAGTATTTTTTTATTTTATTTACCCTTTGGTCTGTGGTTTTGGAATCTTAAGAAAGCCCTGCTTATCTCAGTCATGAAGATATTTTCCCACATCTCATCAATTTCCAATTTTGTCTTTGGCGTTTGAGTATTTGGCCTGCCCGAAGCAAGTAGTGTGCGCTGTGGGTATCACCTTTCTTTTTCTTTATAGCAAAGATGTTTTCCCATCTGTTGACACTAAACAGTTTCCTTTCTCCATCGAGATGTGACTCCACCTCTATCAGAGTTAAAGTTCCGAGCGTGTGTGCGGAGACCGGACACCCTGGTCTCTGGGCGGGATCTCCTGGCAGCTCCTCCCTCCCGCAGCCCCGGGCGCTGTGCTGTCTCCGGCCTGGCTGTCTGCTGAGCCCAGCGTATCCCCTGGTAGCTTTGATTTTCAAAATCAACTTAGCTGTCTTGGATCTTTATTCTTAGAAGTACTTGAGTTTCTCCAAAATTTTTGCCATGTTTTCATTGGAGTTGCATCAGATTTTAATAGAGGGAGAATTGGACTTTTTTAAATGTTAAATCCTATTATCTGTGATCATGATTTGTCTCTTCATTTGTTCACTATTTTCAAATGTCCTTTGAGTTTTCAAATTTCCTCCATAAACACTTTGTGCTTAAGTTGCAGTTTTAAATGGATCTTCTTTTCCATTTCTTGATTGATTGATTATTGCTATAATAGAAGAAAGCTACATGTGTCTTCCTTGTATCTGGCATTCCTGCAGAATTCCACATTCTAATAGTTTTTCTCTGCATTTTACTGGGTTTCCTATAAAACTCATCTCCCGACATGCAAATGGTTTTGTGTCTTTTAATCCCCTGCTCATTTTTTTCATATCACATGATGAGCACCTGCACCACATTGCAGAGTGACAGGGGCAATGATGCTCTTGACCTGCTCAGGCTTAAAGGGAACACACCTGAAGGTTCATGTGAGTTTTCCGTAGACAGTTTTCATCACGTTAAATGTCCCTTCTGTTTCTATTTTTCATCACAAATAAGAATGTGTTGCTATCAAATTCTTTTAAAAGCTTAGTGTACAGCTTTCCCTCTAGACCCCATTAATGTAATAATTACAGCAGTGCATACCTAGGATAAACCTTATTTAATTGTGCATTATTATGTCTAATTCACCTTTTAATTAAGATCTATTTATTTATTTATTTATGCACACAAGAGCTGGGGTATAGGCCAGAGGTGTGGGGGTTAAGAAGATACACCAGAGACAGAGTGGGGAGCAGAACAGGCAGATCTACTGAAATACACTGCTGAGGGGAGCAGCGGACAAGACAGGAGAGGTCTGCTGTGCCATGTGGGTAGCTCTCTGGTGCAAGATTGAACTCGTGCCACAGTGGCTGGCGACAACTTGATAGTGCTGAGACTTAACCCCTGTGCCACCAGGGAGGACCCTCTAATTCATTTTTAATGATTTACCCATGTCATTTTATTTTTAAATTCATCAATGTGTAAATACTCTTAATATTCTTTTTGACATTTTACTATTTCCTAACTTGTGAGAATTTCTTAGACACTAAATGTCTGTACTTATTTCCTTAAAAAGAAGGTATGTCTTCAGTTATTTCTCTTTTTTTGCTCAGTACTATATTTGTACCTCTTCTGGCTTTGTCAGTCTTGCTGGAAGCATGTTTATCTTGTTTAGTCTTTAAAAAGACTAACTTGACTTGATGTTTCTAAAACACCTTATAGGTGGGAGCCAGTGTGATGTGGTGCAATGAAGATTCTGCAGTCAGACCCAAGTCCAAGCCCTGCTCTGCTGGGTGCAGCTTTGTGACCCACACATTGCTTTGCCCCTTTGCATTTGCTTCCCCAATGGGAATAACAGCCTTTCTCATTGTGAGGATTGTACTAGAAAGGTTACCCAAAACACCTGAAACAGGTGGGGGCATCAAAACTATTTGGTGCATGTTAATCCCTGTCCCCAGTGCCTTTGCTTGTGCTCTTCTCTTCACCTGACATGCCCACCTCCTAAGCCCCCGCTAGCCCAGATGGCACCCGTTTGCCCCTAGAAAAAAGCGCCCCTTCCGTAGGCAGGCACACCTCCCACTCACTCCCCAGCCCAGTGCCCATGTGGAGAGCACGGCTTTCCCACACGTGGCAGCCCTGCCCGCTTCCCTGCTCCATTGTCCTCCCTGCTCATCTCTCATGGTGCTGAGGCTGCCCATCTTTCAGGTTTCAGCTTCCCTGGAAGAGCCTTTCGTGTCCTCCCCTGGCTGGAAGTAGTGGGTCAATCAGGCGCCTTCCCTCCTCTCTCCCCCTCACTCCACCCCTCCTCTGAACTCACATCACAGGTCACTTGTGCATCTCTTAAGGCATTTGTCTTCTTACCTATGTCTTAGACATTGTGTGCAAATGTTTCATTGGTTCAACTGGACTAACCCCTTGAACTCAGGGATTATAACTTACTTGTCTCTAGATCCTTCCTCTGCCCTGGGGGCTCAGTGTTACTTGTATGAATTGTTGGATATTAAATGCAGGAGCTAAGAAGAGGCCCAAGTGATACTGTGTAAATGGTGGTAGAGGGAGGGTCTTTCAAGGCAGACGTGAGAAAGTGATGTTAACGATGGTGGTGGTGGTGGTGATGATGTGATGGTGGTGGTGGTGACAATGGTGGTGATGTTGACAAAGGAGATGATGGTGATGGTAGATATCACTTACTGAGCTTACCACTTGCCAGGCCCTGTGCTAAATGCTTTCATGGTTTATCTCTCTAAGCCCTTTGGGATAGATGCTATTATTAGCTTTAATTTGCTGCCAAATCAGTGGTGGAGTTAGTGGGCCAGTGCTGGTCTTCTGACCTCGGAGTTCAGGTTTTCAGTAGCAACAACCAGCAGACTCCCTCGGTCATGCTGTGGCAGCCATCCTCTGAGGACTTGCTACATAGCAGGCGTGTGTGACGCTTTACAGATGTCACCTCTCATCCTCATGGCAAATGTGTAAGTATACGGCACCCTCCTTTTGCAGAATCAACAAGGTTAAGTGACTCACCAAGGTCACACAAATAGAAAATGCTTATAGCCAGACTTCTCTGACCCCAGAGGTGCCCTTTCCACTGCATCGCTGGCACAACACTTCAAGCCCTGCGGCTGGTGGGGAGGAGTTTGTGTAGGAGGAGGGAGGAGGCTAAGGTCAGAAAGGCCGCAGGCTGAAAAAGACTTCACCTTCCAGAATGGATCATCAGGACTGACTTTCAGAAATCCAGGGTACTAGGCAGTGACCTTGACTTGAGGAAGGGGAGAAGAGAGGCGCGGATGCTGGAAGCCAGGGGAATCTGAGCTAACGGGCTCTGCCCTTGGGGACGCACAGCACTTGGCACAGCCATGGGGGGAGCAAAGCCCCAGGCCTGCTGAGAGCAGACACGTGACTGTTGATACCTCCCTCCCTTGCCCCTCTTGGTGCATCCTCCTGAGCCTGCTGCTTTCCTAGGCATCAGGATCCACTTGGCCGCAGGGCGGGGGCAGGGGCATGTCAGGTTGAGCAGCCCTGGACCCTCAGGTTGCCCCCAGAGCAGAGAGCCCTTCTCCAGGGTGCAGCTGTGCTCACAGGTGGTGGGACCTGGAGATCGGGAGTCGTGCAGGTGCGATTCTGACCTTGGCCACTACTTATTCCAGGGCAAACTCGTCCTCTCGAACCAGGGTCTGTATCCGGGTATTTTGTCACCATGTCCTTCCCCGTGCAGGTCATCGCTGTGGTCATGGACATCTTCACCGACGGAGATATCTTCCAAGACATTGTGGACGCGGCCTTTAAGCGCCGGGTCCCTGTGTACATCATCCTGGATGAGGCCGGTGTGAAGTGCTTCCTGGAGATGTGTCAGGGCCTGGACCTCGCTGACTTCCGGGTTCGGGTAAGCTGCACCTGTGCTCAGTGGGTCTCACCCACTTCCTTCTGTCAAAAGCCTCGCCTCGTGAACTGGTAACCCTAAATTACATGCACCACTTAAATTTTATCCCAATGCTGCTGGGGCTCAGGAGGCAGCTCTGGCCTGGCCCTGGGCTCCCTGGGGGGAGCTCCTTCCTAGGAGCCGCAGAACAGGTGGGAGCCACCAGGGCTCGCCCGCTCCTGAAGGGGGATCTGCTGACTGCCTCCTCCTCTATGGGTGCCTTTCTGGTTCCCCAGAAAGCAGGGGGGAGAGGAGGCAGGCCAGCCCCTTGTGTGGGCAGCAGGCTCCTCCCCTGCCCAAGCAGACTTGCTCAGGGCCTCGCTGGCCCCAGCTGGGTGACAGTGCCTTTCTCCTCCCTCCTCCTGGCAGAACATCCGTGTCCGCTCTGTGACAGGCGTTGGCTTCTACATGCCCACGGGAAAGGTCAAGGGGACCCTGTCATCCAAGTTCCTGATGGTAGACGGTGAAAAAGTAGCCACTGGATCGTACAGGTGAGCTGGGGCCTGTCAGAGAAGGGCCCGCGAGGCCTGTGCTCATGGTGATAAACATTCGTGTTCAGGAAGATGCTAGATTCCATAGCTGTGTGCTCAACTGCAAAGAAGGGCCTCCTGGCCAGCCCCTTCCTGCAAACTTTCTGGCCATCAGATTATTCCAGAAAGAGGAGAAAGAGCATCAACTCACTGGGCATTAAATCTTGCCTGGCCCTCGCACTCCAGCGCAAATAGTTCCACTTGAGGCTGGTGGGTAGGTGGGAGCAGCAGGGGGCAGAGTGAACCAGAGCTGGGGGACGAACATGGCGCAGAAGGGGCTCTCCAGGAGCCGACTGAGGAGTGAGTGACCAGGAGCAGGAGAGACACCTCTGTGTGGTCGCTGCCCTCCAAGTAAACGCAGACCCAGGTGAGGAAGAGAGCCCGTGGCACACAGGACACCAGGCAGTGGCCTGTCCTCTCCCAGGCTGTGGTAGGGCGGAGCGAGTGCAGGATGGGACCCTTCGCAACAGGTCTGCAGCAACCACTCACTGGAGGTGTGTGGTGGGGAGGAGGTCATTTCACTCCTAGGAGCCCCCGTTTTACAAGGTACATGTGGGTGGAAACGAGGTGTGAGTCCTGGTCTGCCTTCTTGTGCCCTTGCCCTGCTCGCTGCCTGCCCGCTGCACTTGAAGTCAAACCCAGAGGGAAAAGAAAAGGGATTTGGATCCATGGAGAGAGCCCCCCCACCGCCCACCCCCACACACAGCCAGGGGGCACCTCAGTGGCAGATCAGGCTGGGATGGGGAAGGGGGTGTTGAGATGGGCTCACTGAGGGCCTGCTGGCATGGGCGGGCCGAGGCCACAGGCTGGGCACATATGTCTTGCTTTCCTGTCCCCACTCCCCCAGGTTCACCTGGAGTTCCTCCCACCTGGACAGGAACCTGCTCCTCCTCCTGTCAGGGCAGCAAGTGGAGCCCTTCGACCTGGAGTTCCGGGAGCTGTACGCCATCTCGGAGGAGGTAAACTTGTGCCGGCAGCTGGGCCTAGGAGGCCCTGGCAGGCTGGGCCACGAACTCTCCTCCACTGTGGCTCGCAAGCTCATCAACCCCAAGTATGCCTTGGTGGCCGCCAGGTGCCAGCCACCCGGGGAGATGATGCGCTGGGCTGTCCGGCAGCAGCAGGAGGCCAAGGGTGACCCACAGGGCCAAGAAGAGGACAGCGGAGGCGGCGAGGCAGCCAGGCGCATGGAGAGCTTCCTGAATGACCTGGTCACACTGGAGCAGGAGCTGCCCCCGGTGGAGCCCCTGCCTCAGAAGGATGGCCAGCACGTGGACCCCAAGTACAAACCCAAAGAGGCACTTACCCAAAACGGCACTGGAGCAACTGCCAACGGGGAGAGCAAGAGCTTGAACAGGTGGTTTTTCAGCAGACGCAAGAAGCCTGCACAGCCCAATGGCGTGGTCAGCTCCTTCTGCACAGAGACTGTCGATGGGCAGCTGCCGATGAGAAAGAGGCCCAACGAGGGTTCCAGTGCCAACATCTCAGGTGAGGCCTCTGGCCCTTACAGAAAAGCAGGCCTCAGATCTGCAGCCAGCACAGCAGCCAGGGGCAGGGCTCAGGGCTGGAGGGGTTTCCCCTTCTGCTTTACCATCAAGGGCCTGGAGCCAGACCCCACATGGCTCCCCAAGGAGAAATCAGTGCCTGCCTTGCCCCACTAATGCAGTTCTGAGGGTAGAACGTGCTGGAACAGTTCTGGGCATGAGGTGGTCGGAGAGCTATTACTCCTACTTCTAGGGGGCATTCGGAGAGGCCCCAGGTAACTCCAGAAACTCCAGTGAGCGTAGAAGTTTCCTCCTCAACGTGGAGAAGCAGAGGTTGGGGGTGGCCACGTGGCCGGGCTCAGGCCCGACCCTGCTGAGAGTCTGGGGCTTGTGCTGGCAAAGCTGGTTCCTTGGCCATCCCCTGACATCAGGATCTGACCTGGTCAAACAAGCCCGCCCACCCCTTGGCCGGCAACACCCTGGTCTCTGCTGTAAAGGGTTTGGCTCCTCCCAGAGTTTACTTGACAAGCAGTGTTTGCCCTGCAGCTCTCCAGGGAGAGCTGGTTCCTGGGGCTGCTAGTTATAGCTGTTTCTCTAGAAGCCCCTGTTGGTCCTCACACTCCCTTCTCTGGAGCAGCACCCTGTGTGGCCTTCAGGAGGCTGGTGGTGACACCAGGGCCATGCCAGCACCTTTTCTGCTCTCAGCAGCTCTGAGTCAGGGTTGGGTGTCCCTGGGGGGGTTCTCCCTCTGTGGCTGTGGGGCTTTGCAGCAATGAGACCAACTTCCTGGCCAGCTGGGCCCGGGGTGATGGCAGGGCCTGAGGTCCCTCTAGGCCTCCCGAGTGCTCCCGGGATTCCTGCCCCTCCCAGGCCTCCACTGTGACCTGACCAGGGCTTGGATGCCAGGACCACAGCCATGTTCCACTCCCCACAACATTGCCTCCCCACCTTGCTGCAGGCAGCCCACGCAGTCTCTCCTTCAGCACAGGCCCAGGTGCCTCTGGGAATTTGACCAGGGGGTGCTTGTTGAGTTTCTGCTCCCCCGTGGCTCTCAGAACCACCATGGGGGCTGCAGGTGCACACTAAGGGATGTGGCCAGGCACAGAAAGTGGTAGTGGGCTAGGACTGAAACCTGGGCCAGGACACACCCTGAGGAGAGGGGTGGCCCTGGCCCAGCCCCCTCCCTGGCCCCCCAGCTCCGAGACCAGATGCTGTGCTGCTCAGTGCCTCTTGTTTGGAGGAAGGGTTGCCATGGTGAACACCTGTCAGGGAAGGGTGGGGGAGGGGCGAGCCCGCCACAAAGGGGCTGTTTCCCAAGTCCCCACTGGAGGTGAAGTGGAAGCTCTCGCTTCCTCCAGCCCCTCACCCTGAGGTGCTGTTTCTATAGAAACGGAAGGCCATTATGTCATCCCCTCCTGCTGTCATCCGAGTCGGGTCTCTCAGAGTTGGGTCCCCTGGGCGGATGGCTCCGGCAAACGTCCCTGGGTGCCACCAGGCAGACCGTGCCCTCGGGAGGCTCCTGTCCCGAGTGCCTGACGCCCAGAGACAGTGAGCTGGCCCCACAGTCAGCAGGGCCCAAGGGTGCCCAGCTAGATGCCCTCCCCACCCATCAGAGGAGCCCAGACAGGGCCCCTGGGCAGGCAGCCAGTGCCTGAGAGCCTGGAAGCCGGGTCCCTTCCTCTCCCCAGTGCCCCTTTCAAGATGCAGGCATCGTCTCCCCACAGGCCCTTGGTGGCCTCCAGTGTCTCCCCTGGAGCTGCAGAACCTAAGCCGCCAGGCCTCTGTCTCCAGCACGGGAGCCCCTGGGTTGGAAGTGCTGCCCCTTGGGACTGTGGCCAGAGAGGCCCTCTTTCCTGCAGCCAACACCAAACAACTTTATACCAGCCGCCCGCAGCCCCAGCACCCTGCTGCCCACAGCCCCCCCACTTTCCACCTCAGGGGCTGCGCCCTGGGTCCTGGTCGAGGAGGGGGCCCTGCGCTCCAGGGTTTCTGAGCCCTGGAGCTGATGGCTTCTGTCCTTCTGTCTCCGCTGACCTCTTGTCAAGGCGGAGCCGGGACGGATGACAGGGTGGGTGAACAAGAGAAAGACAGAAGAGCAAAGAACTGACAGCCTGTAAAATTGCTTGATAAGAAGTATATAGTTGTCAAACAGCATGCAAATTTTTGCAAACCCAAGTGTGGCCCTTGGGAGAACCTCCGGAAATCCCTTCCTTCAGGTCTGGGGAAGCAGCGAGGGCGCGGCCTGGCATTTGAAGGCCCACAGCCCCCTCTACTGGCTGAATCCGGGCACCTTCTACTTTTTCCCTCCGTGCTGGGAGCGCTCAGCACCTTTCCCCAGCCTGCCTCCTGCGGCCCTCCCCGAGGACCTCCAGCTGGGCCCCTGGGGGGCCCCCCCATCTCAGGGGATATTGGCCACAGTAGAGCTGTGTTACAGCACAGTGAAAAGTCTTTACCCCTGTTGGGCCCAGGAAACTGCATTTAAAGAAATGCCCTGATTAGTTTTCCCCATTTGGAGGTCCCCAGAGCCATAGGTTTGGGGGACACTGGAAGGCTGCTAGGCTGGGGGAGGGCTTCCTGGTGGCATCCTCGTGGCCCCCCCAGGGAGGTCCCTGGGAAACAGCCTACACTCTTGAGCTCGGCAGAGAAGGGTGAAAGCGCAGCCCTTCTCTGCGCCCTGGTGTGGGCTGGGTGGCCATGGAGCCGGCTACTCTCGCTTGGTTTGGTGGCCTGACAGCCTGATGACATAGCTTCATAGACAAGACCCCAGAGGTGCAGGCAGGTGAGTCCTTGTCTGTGGTCCTGTGTGTGCACTGCCGCCTCCCGAGCCATCTCCAGAAGGTCGGGGCCGACATTTCCCCACATCTTCAAACGCTCTGTGGGAGGCGCTAGGCCTGATGACCCTGGTGTCCACTAGGAAAGGAAGAGGAGTGTGGGCATTTGCACCCCAGGGTACCCCATGGGTCACTACCTTCTAGGGTCCGGGGCAGGTAGAGTGAGCATTGGTTTTCCAGAACTCTCCTGATCCACAGGTGGGTGGGCCACCTGGCTGGGATCATGCTGTGGCCTCTGGGTCCTGGGTTTGGGCCCTTGGGCTCTGCTGTGTCACCCTGGGGCAGGAGGCCCCCGTCTCTCTCCTGGAATTCTGGGCCCCTGTCCCAGGTTGAGGAGCTGCCCCGGGGTTCTAAGCTCTGTGAGGGACCTGTGGGCCCCCTTCCAGGGTGAGTCCACTGAAGAGCTATCTCATCAAGGTGGGGTTTTGAGCATGGTCAGGCCCCAGCAGTCTGGCGGGATAAACCCCAGTACTGTTAGCAGCCAGGTCCAGACCCCGCAGCATGGCTGAGTGGAGCCTGGCGAGCATCCCGAGGGGCTCTGGAAAAGAGGCAGACATCCTTAGCTTGTGGTGGACACACCGTCCCCCGCCCTGCTGCTTTCTCAGGGGTCTGGCGGGCTCACATCACCATCTAGGTGATGTGCGGGCATGACTGCTGCCTTTTGTTCTTACCGGTATGAGCCCTCATGGGCTTGCCTCTGCCTGATCTATCATTCACTCAACAAACACATATCCGGGCAATGTCTGCCCGGGCACTGCTCCAAGTTCCTGATTCAGCAGCAAACAAAAGGAGCCGGGTCTCCGTGCTGCAAATGCTGTGCTGAAGAGAGTGGCGGGCACAGACCCCTGTGGCAGGGGCATCTAGCAGAGACCGAGTGAAGGGACAGCCCTGTGGACATCCAGGGAGAACCTTCAGGAAAGGGAATGCGAAGCCCTGACACCCAACAGGAGGTGGAGCCCCTGGTCCTTGTCATGGCCTCCCACATATCAGTGTGGGGTCCTGATGCCCCAGGCCAGCTCCCCCATGTCCATCCTCCCACGTGCCACCCACTTCCCGCCCCGCTTGCAGCCTCACCTCAGTGTCGCCTCCTTTTGAAGTGTGACTTTCCCTCATGAGCCTCCTTGGGACCCACACATCCGTGTCACACATACTTTATAAAAAAAACTGGGGGGCAGTTTACTACTTCTCCCTATTAACCCGAGCAGGTTTGCTCTGCCTCAGCCTTACCTACACCCGCACATGGGCCCCCAGCCCCGAGCACCAAGGGAGCCATGGAACACCTGTTTCCTCAAACTGGGTGCTCTCAGATGCATGGAAGTCAATCCGGAGCAGAAATCATCTCTCCGGGTTTTCGTCCAGCCTTCTAAGGCCAGAGGAGAGCAAAGCACCTTGGCAAACCCTCTCCCACCCCACCCCACCCCACCCCACCCCGGCCACTCTGATCTCGTTCCTCCAAACTGCTGCCACCTCTGGGGAGGAACTCAGGTTGCTGAGCAGGCCGAGTGCCCACTGGCTGCGTCCACGTGGTGGGAAAGGGACAGTGGCCCCAGAATGTGCTCGTTCTAGCAGAGTGCACCCGCCTGGAGGGACCCCAGCTTCTTGGCCTGGAGCCCTTGGGGAGGGTTGCAGTCATGTCTCCAGTCTGGGTCTCCTGCCTGGTCGGGTGGCCCATAAGAGGTTCTGCTGGCCGGTAGCAAGTCCCCAAGAGAGGGAGTCCAGCTGGCTGAGCTGGGGTTAAGGGCAGTGATGAAGGAGCTGCCCTCGGGCCTATACTGCATCCCTCTTGCTGGTGGCCCAGGAGAAGAGGCAGCTGCCACCTTCAAATTTGCAGCTGCAGTAGTGTGGGAAGGCGCTGTGCGCGCCGGCAGCGGGGCGAGGACCCGCCAGGAAATAACAGGAGCAGCGTCCACCTGGGGGGAAGGCTGCCGCTCCCGCAGCCCACGCCAGCAGGCAGCCCGGAGGTGGGGGTGTCTGCCCCGAAGCCCAGGGGTGGGCTGTCCTGGCCTCTGCTTCGGATGGTGAAGCGAGTGGACATGACGGAAGGGGCCTGGGAAGAGGAGAAGGTGATTCTCCGGCTGGGGCAGATTAGCTTTCTCGTCCCCCGCCTTCCCTCACGAAGTGTGTCCCCCCATCCTCTGTCTTCACCACTAGCCCCAAAAGCCCAGTGTCCCCTGCAGTGCCTGACTCTTGGTCTGCCTGCTGCTGAGGCCACTGAGTCCTTCCTGAGGTACAAGATTTTCCTTTCCCAGCTTAGGAGGCCTGCGTAGCAGAAGGAGCTGGAAATGGATCTGGAGGACAGGGTTCTGGCACTGGTGGCCGCACCGCCCCAGCTGTAAGTGGGGTTTGCTCTGGGGACCACCTCTGAGAGCTCCCGTATGGGCGCCCGGTGAGCAGGGGCGCAGGCTCTCAGCTCGGTGATCCTCCTTGGCAAGACTTTTGAAACCATTGGTGATAGTTGCTGATTTAGGGGTCCTGATCCTTCTCCCCACCCCACTGAGGTCAGGAGACAGCAGGTCCCTTGACATCCCAGCCAGGGGTCGTCTGGCTGAGGCTGCGAGACAGGAAACTTCTTTCCTTCTGGTCTCCTGGGCTTCATGACCCAGTTTCCAGAGCAGCAGCTTGGGAGGGAGGCCGTGAGCCCCACTTTTGAGGTGTGGGCAGACCCCAGGAGGCGAGTCCTCCACCTCCCTCCTTCCTAACCTATGTCCATTGTCTCTGCAGGTAAAACAGCTTCTAGTCCTACCAAGACCAACAAGTGTGTGGTTTCCTGAACCTGGGCCCACGGTGGGCAGGACTTCTGGACGCCCTGTCCTGTCCTGTGGAGAACATGGGTCAAAGCCTGCGCCAGTTTGCACATCTGGACCCTCCTGGCCTCCTACCCAGCAGCCTCCATCCTGGCCTCAGGGACCCTGGGTCCCAAATGTGAGGGTCCACCGCAGCCCTGGACAATCACACACATACCCCCCCCCAAGAGACTGTCAGCCATTGAGTGGGGGCTGCTCCTTGTTTACATGAAGTGGAAGGCTGACCCCCTCCCAGCGCTGGGCCAGCCTCACCCAGCAGGTCCCCAGTGGGGTGGAGCCACGTCTTTATACCTTAATGGAGGGGTCTCCAGGGCAGCTCCAGCTCCCTGGCTACGCCTTCCCTGGGCTTCCTGGTGCTTCTGTTCCCCCAGAGGTTTGGTGGAATAAAAAGAGGATCCGGCTCTGAGCCAGGAAGCCATGTTCCCATTTTGCTTTAGCCTCTGAGCTCAAGGTGGAAGTTTCAGCAAAGACCTCCAGGGCCCGGCACTGCTGTGGCCCTCCCGGCCTCCAGTGTGGGGAGCAGGGAAGGAAAGGTGAGCTTGGTTCCTGGGTCAGTCCTGAGCGTCTGGGGTGTTGGGGTGGGGGTGGCCACCTGGGACCCTGGCCCACCTCCCCGAGCTTCCACGGGAATTACTTCCTTATATAAAAAGGCCTGGCTGTGTGGCACATACTGTCCTGGAGGGTCACAAAGGAGGGGAGAGCTGGGAAATGGGGCGTGGGGTGCTGAGGTAAGCACACTGCAGTGGGGGGAAGAGACCATCCTCAGTGAGACTGGAGAACACCTCTGGGAACAAGGAAGGCGCCCCGGGAGGGGAGCCTTTCCCAAGCAACTGCCTGCCGGGCCTGCCCGCAGCAGGCCAACTCCCACCCCTGCCCTGGGGGCCCAGCCTGGAAGTCCCCAGTCACCGAGGCCTTGATCCAGACCTGCCTTCCTGCCCCAGTTTCTCCATGTGCCAAAATGGGGCTATTCTCCCTCTCTTCCTAGAAACCAAGGGCGGGTGGGAAGACCATATGTTGAAGAGGAAGCCACAGAGAGCTGGGAAGAGCGAGGGCCCCAGGCTCCTCTCCCCCAGGCTGTTTCCTCACCCCCCCACCCGCCCTCACACACCCCCCCCCCACCCTGCATGCAGAGGTTTGGGCAAGATGGCCTCCCCTCCCCACACCCAGCTCTGAAATGCTTGGGGAAGAGTCAGCTGTCTCCTGATGGTTGAGGATCTGCAGTCATAAAATTCGGCCCTTAACATCTGCTTCTCTGCCTGAGCTCCAGCCCACCTCGCCCTGCCTCCTGTCTGCCCTCTGTTCCGGCTCTTGCACAGAACTTGTGAAACACTCGCTCTCATCAAATCTCAGGGAACATCTGGCCTTCCCAGTTGGATGCCAAGGCCAAGGGTGCCCTTGGTCCCTCACAGCCACCGCAGTGTGTGGGCAGGGCTCCGGGAGGAGCAGGGACGAGATCTCGAGACCTCGCTTGCTCGCTCCCTTGCCAGCTTGCTCGCTCTCAGGGGGGCGCCCAGCTTTGCCCCCCACCCCCACCCCCAAGCTGCCCACTCTGAGTCCAGCTTCTGCAGGTGGAGCGTTACCAACACAGAGCCTTGGGGCGGCTGACCTCCCTGACAGAGGTGCCTAAAGGTGAGCTCCAGGGCTGCTGTTTCCCTGCTGTTTCCATGAGGGCAGGAAGCACAAACTCCTGAAGGGAACACATCCTGCTTTGTCAGCCGTTCTGTTCCTTTGGGGGTGCCTGGCGATGATCTCTGCTAACACCACCCCCTCTGCCCGTATAGAACCTCATGGAAAGGCTAAAAGAAAATAGAGGCCTTGAGAGAGATCAGAGAAAGCAGCTTTTTATTTCTTCCTAGGCTGCTTTTCTCTTTTTTAATTGCGCATCCGTCCCCTGCTAGACACTGCAATCACAGGCAGGTTTCAAACTAAGAACAGCTCGGAAAGAGCCCTTCCCAAAGTTGACAGCTTTTCTGTCTGGGGATGGAGCATCACAAAGCCATGTGACCAGCACAGGTGTCATGGACCCCACTCCTAAGATCAGGAGGTACACGGTGCTCCCCAAATCCCACATCACATCACTGGCAGATCTGAGCCTGGTCCTCTAGCTCAGACTTCAACATTAGTGACACTTTGGAGCCCCAAGATTCTGTAGTGGGAGGGGCCGCCTTCCTACATCCTGCAGGCTGCCTAGCCATTCTGGCCACTGCCCGCTACACGCCAGGAGCACCACTCTGGGTGAGACAACCAAAAATGTTCCCAGGCATTGCCAAGTGTCCCCTGACCGTGGAATGGCCCCAGCTGGCACCAATGTTGCTGTGCTTTGCTGCCCTTCCTGGAGGGCTTTCTCCGACACCGTCCCCCGGGAGAGGTCCCCTGTGCCGCCACCCGCCTAGGCCTGGAGAGGCTAGCTGACCACGCACCAAAGGGGTTGCTTCCCGGGACTGACATCACCATCTCCCCTCTCTGTTCCACTCACCCGGCTTCACTCTTCACGGCCTGGCACGGCACTCCCTGGAGCAGGTGTGTTTATGTACACACATCTGCTTTCCCCGCTCAGCCCTGCCGTGTGCCCTCCTGACCGTCCCCACCCTCGGTCTCTTCACGCTTGCATGGGAAGCACCACCGGACGTCCGTCTGCACCCTGAATGCCCCCCTCCAGAGGCAGCAGGGCTGGCGCACAGACTCCCACACACCTGGCAGGCCAAGTGGGAAGCGCCACTTGGAGTGAGGCCACATCCTGAGCAGGCTCCAAGCAGGACCCTCTCAACAGCTGATCCACCGGGCCACGTGGAAGCAGCTCAACATCTGGTTGCGTGCCAGTCACACACCCTGCCGGGGGGCCGGGCAGCTGTCACAGTGATGGAAGGCTGCTGTTCCTGGGTCGGAGGTTTGGTGCAGAACAGGCAGCCTAGGTTGAGAGGATGTGTACCTGAGCGAAGGCCGGGAGGAGGCAGGTGCAGGTGCGGGGCTGAGTGATGACTCAGCCAGAGGCCTGACAGAGCTGGGTGCCGGCCCTCCCTGTGAAACTCTGAACCCTGCGAGTCTCTGCTTTCAGAGGTCACTCTGGCCGCTCCCCAGAACTACTGTCACCCACTCTGTCCAGGGATTCCTGAGCTTGCTCTGTCCGGCCCACTGTTGGAGCCACAGTTCCTGCTCAGTATGGCTACGTGAGATGATTGGAGACTTGACTCCCTGTGATACAGCAACAAACAAGCCAGCCCAACAGGCTCAGGCTGTGTCAGAGGCCCCAGGGTTGCTCACGGCCCTTTCAGACATGTTCTGGCTCCTGAGACCATCCTTGGGAGCCAAAAGAAGTCGTGCTCTCACTCTTGAACTTCCTAACAACTACGTTTATCAAAGTCCCTCCTGATGGAACTCTATGCTGGGAGGCGTCTCCTTCCAGCCTGTGTCCCAGTGGACTGTCCTCATCTCCAGTCACACCAAGCACAGTGGGCCCCAGTCCGCAGGCCTCCCTGACCACCAGGGGCCTCCCAGGGCTGCATGCTTCCTCTCAAAGGCTTAACGCCCGAGCAGGCAGAAGAGGTGTGTCTTGACATGTGGACGTTTGTCCACAGTCACCCATTAAGACCTGGGGAGGGCTGGAGTCAGGTTCTCTGCACCCTGTGAGGGCACTTTCACTGCCTCCTGTGGCTTCTCAGCTGGCCACCAGCCAGGGACGTTCTCATCCAGAAATGGGGCTGAAGTTTGACATTGTTCTGCAGCCACTGAAAAGCAGCTCTGGGAGTAGATGTCCACATCATAGAAAACCGGAGAAAAGGTGAGAACATGTGTGCAGAAGCTCCCTGCCTTCACTCCTGCTGCCGGACATGGATATGTCCACACCCATGTGGATGGTGCGTCCACACAGGACTCAACTGGGAACCGGGGGTGTGGCCACAGAGGCCACTGTCCCCTCAGCACCAGCAAAGGAAGAGTATGCTGAGAAGCAGGAGCCAGACCTCCCCCTGGGGTGGGATTCTCTTGGGCTCCTTGGTTTGTCTCTCCTGGCAGGTCTTGGAAGTGGGTGGTTGAACAAGGAAAGGCTCTTCCCTTGGAGAGGCTTTATTCATTTGTTCACTCAGTGGCATTTACTGTGTGCCGGGCCTGGGGATGAATGGCCAGTGAGGAAGGTGCTGGTGGAGCTGGCAGATTTAAGGGGGTTGGGAGTGGGGGGGTACACGTGGTGGCCGTGAGCTTAGCTGAGGCCCATGGCGGCATGGCAGGAGTCTCCAGAATGGCAGGCTCAGCAGGGAATCCCCTCTTTGCCCCTTTTTAGCTAAATGACCCTGCTGCTGCTTCCCATTCTCAACTTTGGTTTCTTTCGGTGCCGCTTGCCAGAATCTGGGGAACAAAGAGGTGGCACGGTGGCTACCAGATGGGGCTCAACCACCAGCGGGTGAAGGTTTGCATTTCCCTCTTAGGACTTTCTCTCCAGGGGTTCAGCTCTTGCTCCTTGCTAAATAGTAGGCACACAGGACTCACTGCCCGCCCCCCGCCACACCCCCAGGAATTGTCAAGGTCCAGGTTTTAAAAGAAAGGCAGAGGATACCCCCAGAGATGCCATCTGGGAGCTGCTCTGCCTGGCAGGCACCTCCCTTGTAGCAGGCCAGCCCCACGCAGCTCACAGGGTGTAGGTTTGGGTGCGGAAGAGGCCCCAGCCTGCTCTGGTTGTGCAAAAGTCGCACCACTTTCTTGAATGGTAGTTTTTGGTACAATAAATAATTGTGATTTGCACAAAGACTCCATCTAATTATAAGACACAAATGGAGTCCAAACCAAGGAAACAGTACATCAGGGAAAGCCTGCCCGCCTGCACCTAGCAGGCCCCTCCCATGCTTCCCTCCCCCCCCCCCCCGCCTCCGCCCGCCCCCGTGCTCGCCTTGTGTGACCGCAGCCCTGCTGTCTCCCCAGATGGACGGGGAGAAGCTTGGGCCGGTGTGGGGTTTGGATTCAGAACCCCAACTCCTGATTGTGCCTCCTGGGAAGACAGAGCACCAGCGGCTGGAAGCAGCGCAGAGAAATGCTGACACCTCGTGGCCAGCTGGCATACCTTTTTCTCCTCCTCTGGGTGAGAGCACTCAGAGGATGCCAGCCACCCGGAGGGACCCATTTCCACTGTGTGGACCTCACCACATCCTCCACCAATGGTTCCTTTTCTCAGTTGCACCAGTGAAAAACCTGGGGCATTTTCTTAAGCTCTGTCTGCCTTACCTGTATCTCCCTCATAAGGTAATGATAAAATTCCCAGGACAGTGCCTGGCACCAGGGCTGTCTACACGAGCATGCACCCCACACTGTCCCAGGGGGCCCCACACTCAGAAAGCAAAGGGCCCCACATTTGGTTTCATGCTCTGCTCTTCCTGTCTGAAATGCTTAATAATTTTTCAACAAGGAGCCCTGGCTTTTAATTTGCACCAGGTCTGGCAAATTGTGAGGCTGGCCCTGCCTGG